AGGTTTCGTAGATTTTGATAATCATTTATTTAAGCGTTTGAACGCATTTAGAAGCTTTTAAGCATCTACGAAACCTTTTTTGAGGGTTCGGTAAAACTCCTTTTTTTTTACAGTGTAGGTAGTTGGGATACCATTTAGACTCTTCGCATGCAATGATCGTCAAATACCTAATAGATCTAAATAAAGGAAAAGAATGAAGCTAAGCTCGCTGATTCCATTTCTCTCATGAGATCCAGAGCAATCATCGCTGAAATAAATGGAGCAAAACGGAACTAACTTATTCAATCCATTTCAATCTCATACTAGACAGTTATCGAAAGAATTGAATGAGAAAATGACGACTAAAATTAGTATTTTCATTCAAATCTATTATAAAACACGGCGGAAGTAATAACATAAATATAGGAAGAAAAAAAAGTAAGGTTAATTTCGTAATTAACTTTCCATTACAAAAAGTGTAAGAATTTTTAGGAGTATTAAACAAAGGCATCGATAAAAAAAACTATCGTTTCTGTTTCTCTCAGAAAAAAAGGACAAAATAAAAACATGTTTGTTAGAAAAAAAGAGTGTGAAAGTAATCTATTTGGTTTTTGTGTCCAAAATGAGTGGCTGCTTTCGCGATAGTCAGACGATAAAAGAGAAAAAATAAACAAAACTAACCGTTTAGGTTTTTCTCAGAAAGTGACGAGCACTATTTGGAATAATACAATGAAAAAAAGAAAAAGAAGGCTTCTTTTATTCTGTTGTTTCTGTTAAGACCACTCTCCCCTCAAAGAGGGATCTCATCTCAGGAGCAACCAAGTTGCAAGAAACTTTCAGGATATGTTGGGGCTATCGAGCCATGACTATGGTAAAATTTTCAGCCCTATATCATGACGTTTGACAGAGATATTCACCAAACAAGGGTCAAAAATAAGTCCATCGTAGCGCCAGCAGAACTCTATCATGGTAAAAGATAAAGTCAAATATTTTTTTGTTTGAAAGAGCATGTCAGAATGCAGCTCCTCTCGTGACCCTTTTTAAAACTCTTACTTTTTAAGCGAAAAAAAAGGAATGATAAGTTCAATAACTCGAAAAATCCCTAAAAATGGCGCTGTTTTTATAGAGGTGTTTTCTTATATGAAAATAAAAATGCCCAAACTGAAGACTAGCTCTAGACACAAGCTTTCAAACAAAAAAATACTTGACTTTATCTTTTACTATGATAGAGTTCAGATGACGCTATGTTGTTGAACACACGTCTTGTGAAAAAAGAAAAATGATTTTCGGTTTTTTGTAAAAACGGCTTATTTTTCGAATATGGGGTGACGAAAATCTTCCAATATTTTTGAAAAAAAGAGATGCCAAATAAAAATTTTTGTCGCACATGAAAGAGCAGATGATGGGCTATTTCTCCATGAATTTATCTCAATTTCGATGATTCTGGCAAAAAAGTGTCTTTTTTCAGGAGGGGAGGGGCCTAAATCTTCGGCAACTATCAGAATAAGTAAAATAAAAAAAGAAATAAATTAAAACAACTTTCTGTGTTTCTCCGATAAGAAAGAGTTCAATTAGATATGAAATTAATCGAAGAACAGCAAAGTAAACTAACATCTTCTATATTTCCAATAAAATGCGTGATAACTTCGAGCGTAACTAAATGATGCAAGAAAATAGTAAAAGCAAACCAATCTATTCTGATCTCGCATAAAGTGATGCACAGCTAGGTGAATAAATGAATCACTGAAACAAATTAACAGCCAATTTTATTATTGATGTGATTCCATAAAAGCACTCTATGTGTCAGTAGAAGTAGATACAAAAAAAGAAAAATAATGGAATAATGGCATGAAGGAGAAAAAAGGAAACTGCGTTTTCTCACTCCATTACTGTTGCGAAACCTCTTAAGAGTAATGAGTTGTCAGCAGCGTATAACATTATTGTTTTAATTTGATAGAAGGAATCACAAAAATTTCTTTTTTATCAATTTTTTTCCTTTTCTTTTATTTAATATGAAGGTGTCGAAGAATAAATCTTCATTATCGAGATACAAATGAGAATGTTTCAAAAATAGAAATGTTACACGGAGCAAAATGAGAACAAAGAGGAACGTTTATAGCAAATAGATATGAATTATAAACATCTCTATAAAATATGGAAACAGATAAGAAAAAGCTTTTATGTATTTCAAATCTCTATTTGTGGATAGTTGAAATTGTCACCGTGTTACTTCATTTTGGCAGTTGGTTTCTTCACTGATAAGCCTTAAGGGAACACTTATAATAGCACTGAATTGGCTGTACGATTTAAGATTGATTGAGATTGTTTGATGGCTAAAGATTCAAGTATTAGCAGACGATAAGATATTGAAACCTTGTCAGTGATTTTGGTTTTGTCACAATTGATTAGATCTTAATGTTCAATTGCATGTTTAATTATGGTTGATTGAATAATGTTTTGTTCAATTCAATTTTTTCCTCACCTTCTTGTGGAGTATGTGCAATTTGTGATATACCGTACAGCGATCAATGTGTATGAGTGTACATTTTGATCGTCGTAAATCTTTTTAGGTAATAGTTGTTGTTGATGTTGAGATATTGCGTTTTGGTCCAACTGGAAAAGATTTTTCGTGTTCATCTAAATGTCGTTGAACTTGACGAAGTGTTTCGCCTATAACAGTGGTTTGGCAATTTTGACAGGAGATTTCATATGTAACATCTGATTAAACAGAGCCAATTATTTCATCTTTTGACGAGAGGAAAATCGTTATTGCTGATGATGGACGTGGTATTCATTGAAAGTGTAGTTGGGGATGAGCAGATGCAGCAACTTTTATTAACTTTTTGTCTAATTTTTCAGTTGTTTTGTCGAACTATGGAATGTCAACGTATGCTTGTCCCCTCTTTTTTGCACCTAAGATAGCTGCTGTTGAAGAATTAGACGTTTTCGAGCCTTCTTGATTATAGTAACGGTTAAATGTCAATCGAATTTGTGATTCTATGAAGTTGATAGAATAACCATTTTGATTTGCAAGTTTTCGACTGAAATTAACTTCTCGTGTTATTAATTTAAATGTAGAGTAGGGTGTGGGTATGGGGTTTTTGTCTGATAAATATACCCACACCCACGTACAGAACCTCCACTAGTCTGTGCTATATCATTAGCATGGCAAGGTGCGATAGATCTCTATTGTTCGTTATGTAATGAAAAAACTGAGAATTTAATTTTATCAATATATTCTCAAGCCCATCACTGATATCCCCCTATCTTCATGTACTATTCTATATGCACGATCCTTCATGCTGTTGTAGATCTTCGTATCGAATTTGTTGGTTATAGTGCACGATGCAGATATGTATATCGACCATTATCGGTGTTGCCCAAGTCGAAAGTGAGCCATCGGATTCTGTCGGATCTGTCTTAATATGATGAATTCCGATGACTGAATTTGATAGAATTCCGATTGTCGGAATCGAATCGGATCTCAATTAATTCTCATAATTTCTAACGCATTCCGATTACCGGATTCCGATGATATCCGAAGGACGAACGCGATAGGATTCATGGGTCGGAATCCAGTCGGTTTCATCAAGTTTCGAGAAGTTAGTCGTCGAGTTGCAGTGGAACATATGTTTTGCATATAAATTTATTATTAATTGAATGCTTTTTAGATTTCAAAGAAAAAATGAGCTCAGGTATGCTGATGAATAAGCAGAATGTAGAAACATTATTACACAATGATTATCGAAGCACTATTTTTCAAATAAAACTGGATGATTTTTCATGCTTAATATTTATCTCGCTACTGCAATAAGAATGAAAGCACCAAGTCGATTAGAGTATTGCATGAGATTAGTACTATAAACATTTAACTGAGTGCAAGACTTGAACGCTCAATTAGTAATAAATAGGCATCAGATACTTTCGATATGAGCAGTGTACATGAGCAAGAGTTATTTAAACAAAAAGAATTTCTCATATGGTAATATTTTGACTGTATCAATGTACAGAATACTGATCAGTGACCTTTTTCCGTTATGGTATGCTCATATTATTTGTACTCGTGTGCTTTGTTTGAGGCATCAAAATTATTTGGCAATAGTTCTTCTCTACCGCTTATTAATTACATGACAAGCTTCTTTTCTTTATTCGTTGTGCTTGCGACTGAGGGTTGATGTTCTCTCGTGTTAGTTACAGAGTGAGACAAAAACTTAGGTACGTGCTAAAAAATGTTTTCTTCTCTTTTACTACAGATCTGAAAAGGCTCTAATTACGAAATAAAATATTTTGCAACCACATGAATAACAACCTAAATTTTCAAAACTCTATCCCTATCACTAGGGAAGATATATAGCTGGTACTACACAGAAGCCCTTTCTGTGTGACCAATAGAATTTCTTATATTTAAGGAAATACCTAGAATAGTAAGTTTTTATCATAAATACAATATCAAACAATACAATAATTTATATTTTCATCTTATTACAGTCGTTTTCTATTGGTTGAAGGACCTTTACTATTAATAACATACTATAATCTTTCGCAGCACCGAACTCATCCAGCTTGAGCACCATTACAAATTGAGTGTCTTCCATACGAAAAAAATTCATCGAAATGAAAGACTGATAATCAGTAACAATCATCCTTTCACACACAGCCAATTAGAGATGAACACCTTTCAACAAGCATATTACAGATATCCAATTAACCTTTTGGCATAATTAATTCAACTGTACTCTTCCAATATTTTTTCATTTCATTTTCTTCCTTCCCATTCTTTTTTTCATGGTTTCATGCAAATCTTCAATACTATGTATTTTTTGGTCATGTGAATAGAATCTGCTCTATAGTATGTGCCATATCCTTTTCCTTAAGGTACTGCTGGGCTTATGAACATTTAGAATCCTATTCATTTAGCTGCAAAATATTTTCTATCCTACTTAGAACATTCAAGAGTTTATAATAGCAGAGAAAAAAAAAGAATTTCTATCAAGTACTAAAACTTTTACATTAATCCATAGATGTATGGGACTAAGATTATAACCATCGCCGTGCCAGTTGAAGATTATAGTGATAAGGATATAAATATATGGGGTATGGGCATACGAGTACAGGTATAAGCATATAGGCATAAGGATGTAGGTATAAGTATATAGATATAAGAGTATAGGCATAAGAGTATAGGTGTGAGGGTATAGATATAAGGGTATGGGTGTACCGTTGTAGTTTACGGATTATTCATATCTTTGCACTGTGTTTTATGACTATATCTGGGTTTCTCTCATGTTTGCTGTCTCAATAAGATAATAAGAAGGTCAGACAATGGATTTTTTTATCATTGTAGTCAGAAATCTTAATATTTATTATATATTTAACAGATGATAGTCAAATTGGAAAGAGAACAACTACTGAAGCCTAATGATTAAAATCCGATTAGATCCGTCGGATCTGTTAACTTTCGTTGCAGGATCCGATAAGACCTTACCGGATTCTTTCACCGGTACTTGTCAGATCCGATAAGATCCTTTCCTAGTTAAATGTCTTTCGATTTTTGGATCACTGGATTCTGGACTCAATCCGATAGGATCCGACCGGGTTAAGTCGGAATTCGACTACTTCCGACATTATCCGACATTGAATCCGATCGAATCCGACAAGATTCAATGGTAGGATTTTTCGACCTGGATGTTTATAGATGAATACAACGCCCTGTCGGTGATTAAACTTGACCAACTTTTAGTTTATTGTGAAAGTCCCTATCGAACAGCAAGTACATTTTCTTATAGTTTAAGAAATGAACTTTTTTATACAGCTCAAAAGGGTGTGAGTTTACATGAGCTGAATTATGGCATACACACACACATCCATACCTACTCTCTAAAATCTGCCAGACCAACAAGCAAGCCAACTGACGCTACATTTTGTTTTTGGTTTTTTAGCACAGATGAAAGATCATGTCGAGAAACCTCTAAATCCAACATATCATCTTTTTCTGATGTATATTTGAGGAATGCTGAAGATTTCAACCTTGAGTTTTTTGAAGTTAGATCATTAAAATTAAAAAAACAGGACTTTTTACACATTTCGATAGTTTTGTGAGATTTTCTTCGCCCCCGCTCATTGCTTCAATTGGAAAGATATCTCAAAAAATGCAGAACAAAGTTTTCTACGAAGTGGACTCTTGCAGTAGTCATTACAATGAACTTTAGTAATCGATCGTGCTCTCACAACAAATCAGGGACTTACAGTGTATAGTAGTCGTTGAACTTTGCATCTAGCCTTATCGAATGGTTCTATTCCAAGAAACCGAATCCAAATTCTGGAAGCTCTTAAAATTCTGCATTTTTTGATACATAAATCAATGTGTACAGAGACGGTCCACGGGTTTTAGCAGGGATTACAATTGGTGCACTATCATGGCTCTCACGAGCCATTTTGTCCGGTACTTAGCTATTATATAGACTAGGTCTTTCCTGAATAAAAATGTAATACTATATTCATCATCAACATCAAAGACTGCGTATAAAAGTGCTACTTAGTTGAATGTACACTTAATAGAGTTGAAATAACCATGTTGAATAGGGATAGCCTGAGTTTATTTCAAAGTATATCTTTATAGGTATCTTGCTCAACCTATTCAGTTTTTTCTAAGAAGAGATGACGGGAAGTATTTTACTTCATTTCGGACTACTACATTCTAAACTTCAATAGTACTGTTTTGTGGTTTTTCTAAAAATCTGTCTTTTATGTTGAGAAAATTGAGCTTGTCCTCATACTTGCGCAAAAGCCAGATAGAACTTAAGATTGCATTTCTTTTTAGCAGTTTTCATTATTACAGCTCTATTTAGGTCAAAATTAATAGCATATTTGAAATCAGCAGAACGAGCTAGATCGAATGAAACGGTGTAGTGTAGGTGTTGATTAAGAGAAGATCCACATCCAGATAACAAACTAACACCCACACTCCGTTTACCATATTTTTTTAGATCCTAAATTTTGATACCATCAAAGTGATTCTTGAGCAAACATTGATTGATGGTTCCTCATTTAGATGTTGTATTTGTGTAAGAACTGCGAATCCTAAGAAAATTTTATGAGCCAAAGGAATGGAACTAATGAAAATATTGAATGCAACAAAAAAGATGTTGTATTTCCCTAGTTCTCATAAATTCATATAAAGGTATGTCGATGCTACTAATTTCTTAAAGTCATCAGTGTTAATTCTACATATATTGAAAGAATCGAACAGATTAGGAAAAACATCGTTTTTCTTTGTAGAAACGAAAGCAGAACCAGAAGCAATAAAAAAATGTTTTAGCCAAGACCGCGAACAGGATTTTAAAAAAAGGTGCTTTCGCAGTTCCCTCGGTGCAGTTGCGTTTATCTTCGCCACAGTAATCGTAGTTTGTAACAGAGATTTTCGTTACAATCAATGCACTGCAGTTAGGCGCAGTTACAGATAATAGCGACGCAATTGGTAAAAGAAAAGAGACAACATTAGTCACATGTTTATCAATATCTCATGTCTTTATCTAAGTATATATAAAGATAATATTGTGACCATTTTCTTATTTTTTAATAAACTACTTTTTTTTTCATAATAATTGATTCAGAAACGTGAATCCCAAAACAGTATGACTATATATCATATTCCTGATCCATCAAGTCGATTAACTGATGAACATGCAGTTCATCTATTGAATGAACTAGACGAACGTGATATATCACCACCATCATTACGGTTTACATCCGTAAGATAATATCTAAAATCATAGTCATGTTGTATGTTTTAGCCTATTTACTTACTTAAGATATCTCCAAAAGAACGTAGTCATTCACTATTACATTGGACGAAAAAGACTTTCAATGTAAAAACAACTTATAAACGTGATGACGATTCGTCTTCGCATCAACTATTATCATCAGTAGCACATCATGAGAGAACTAATGCACCGGTAAGATCATCTCCTGGCAATTATCTTACAAAAAAATATGAACGACTACGATCATGGACAATGGAGTCAATGAGATCAACAGACAAGAGAATACCACAGCAAGAAGCCACCATTTATAATACAGACGAAAAAGCACAACAAACACGATCAGTATTTGAATTTGCATTTTTTCATTAAAAGAAAAATTAGCATATGTTCTCTGGTAATTTTTTTTATTATTCAAATGTAACCATGTAATTTACTCTTTCTAAAAGATGAAAAAATGTCTGAATTGAATATTATTAATTCAATAAAACAAAGTTCTCTAATCTTTCTTGTCGATGACTATTTGTTTCATTCACTGTCTTTGCAATCGCCTGAGAAATTAAGAATAATTATAAATCAAACAGTATGAAGTTCAAAAATAATTCGTCGATGACCAGGCAAAGAATGAAAGGTGAGGAACAATGTGCACAACAGCAATAAATTTTTGTGCAGTTTGGGTGTGAGTGTCGGTGTAAATGTGGGTGTGACACAGGAGCGAAGCAATGCATCGACACCCACACCCAAAAGATCCTCAGAATCATACGTTCGTTCGAATGATAGTAATCAAATTAATTCTAACATGCAGATAATGTGTGTGTTTTTTTTATGTGTGGAACAAAATATAATTTCCATTCAATTTGTTCCAGTTGACTGTTCAGAAAGGAAGAAATTCGCTTGTACGTTAAGTTGATGAACTTTAACTGTGGCATGAGTCAGTATAATAGTATAATCTGTATGCATTCGATCACCAACATTGTTTGTAAAGATTTGATAGAGTTCCTAGAGAATTGTATTTGGAAGAGATGTTGTACCGATAATAGAAGAGAAATAAAGATCACCTTTTGTAATACAAGTTGGTTTCATCGACGGTTCGACCTTTCATAGTTATAAACTAGCAGAAGAGAGCCAAAATCACGAAATTTTAGGATTTACACTTACAAAGAGTGACGAACACAGTAAGGATGTATGCGTTTTCTTATCTCTCTCTATTTATTCTTTGAGAAAAACAAGTGTTTATATACGCACAAGAAAACAAAGACTACTCGGGGTCAAAGAAACGTAATGGAAACAAAATGATAGAATCAAAAGTATCAAATAAAAGAAAATGAATAGGATCAAGATGTACGTTGTAACACTATACTGTAAAACTGACGAAAACCAATTATTTTTCTATTAAAACGATACGCTTTGCATCGATTATAATCGATTCTATATTGACAAAAAACGTGTGACCTCAATTGTGGAAGCGGATAAAGAAAACGTGAACACCCCACCTTGTTCGTGTGATGGCAAGAACCTATTGGTTGTTTATAACGCAAAAGTAATCCAATGTTGCTGCGTCGCCCTTTTTTCTTCTCCAAGGATTTCTTTTTTTTAGAAAAATACTAATTACTAAGTAAGCTGTGGAGTAATATCGAATTTCTGTGCATTACAGGATTAAGGCCTGCGCTTCTTTACTATCGACGAGCTCGAAAAGCATCGTCTAACAATTGGGTATAAAAGTAAGTCTCGCCACTACTTGGTCCCATGTAAGCTCAAACGATGGTCTCAATAGTTATTCCTTGCTTTGTATTCGTTCTATTCAGGTAATTCTAACATCTATCATTTTTCTATGGTTATAACGTTTAACGATCTTCTTTTTAAGTATCATAGGTTTGACTCTTGTTTTGTTTTACATGTTTTGTTTTTTATTTAGTATATCGCTAGTGCGAGTGAAGTCTCAATACTGCCATAGGATATCTCAATATGATCGATGCTCGTCGAATGGTGCTTGTGGCTGTTTTCACGATGTAGGTGCTATTGAAACAGGTATTTGCCTCGATCGATTCGTAAATTGTGCTCAATTAGTGCCATGCGAACGCCCAAAGAACGATTGTAAGGCACCTGGACATAGATGTGTTCATCATCCTCTATGTCATGATCTACCTGTTTGTTATCCGGTACCGAGTTTCAATCAAGACCTATGTCCATCGATAACAAGTAAGAGTAACAAACATTGATTAACGCATTTACGTGAATTTGAAGTATGTATGAATGGTATTTCTTCGCCATTCATACGTTCTTATGTATTGAACACGTACTGGTGGAGAAATGACGAGGACGTGCTAAAAAGCCTTTCAAAAATCTGGATAAAGCGCAACAGAGATAAAATGAGTGGTAGTTATCGATGAAAAGCTCTGGTATCTTCTCATCAACCATAGTTAACCATTGAAACAACAGAATATGTTGCAATTATGTCTCGCAATATAGAGAGACGCAACGAAATTTTAAGTGTGCATCAGAAACTGAAACGAAATGAAAAAATGATAGCTCCATTCGATTGCGTAGACTATGCGTAATATTTTTGAATTTTCATTAGTGAAGAGATCGATGCTTTTTCTGATATACTCCTCTTTATCGACAATTTTCATTCTATAGTCGATTAATTCTTGTGAATATTGAGTTTGGCCAGGTGTCTTTTTCTCAAAATACCTGTGATTCAACAATTAACGTTAAAAACAAACGCGTTTTTTATTCTCTCTAACCTTTATTTCTAACGAATAAATATGTAGGAGTGAGCAGTGAGGATTTAGCTATGGCACAGCGACGGTTGAAGCTCAAGATATCTTTAAATAATGAAGCGAATAAATAGGTCACTAATAATCAATAATGAAGCCATACATGTAGGTTATTATTTTGTAGCTGTTATAACCACTGATTGAGCTGCCTTATTCAGATATTATTAAGCAGAGAACGCATATTGACTAAGTACCCAAGGCACATCTACTTATTTTACAGAGAATAACTGCGTATGAGAGTTTTTATTCGCTTTATTTCATAAGAGAGGAATGCAAAAATTTCAACCATTTGATGACGACAGCGTTGAGGTAGTTCCTACTAGTTTTGTGAAACTCACCTATATTTTCGACGAAAATAGTGAGTGTAACCTTTAAGGTCAAGTTTTCGTACCTATTCTCCTCTCCTTCTTCTTCTCATCACGGACATTTAGCAACTAGCTTTAAATCTTATCGAATATTTTAGCTTATGGGAGTTATGTGAGTTCCACATTTCAACTCCAAAGGAACTGCACTAACGAGCTTCCTTTTCTTACAATATTGTTCTGTGTTCTCGAGCATAATTTTAAATTCATTTTATTCATACTGCTGATTAGACTATAGAATATTTTTATTACCTGAAATGAACAGAGTAGAAGAGGGATTATTCCTGTCAGAGGGTGAACTCACCACTTTTATACTTCGAAAAATCCTATTGTTCTACTAGCTCAGGTAGCTCTATATGAGATGATTTTTTCATCGTCTCGAAAATGTCTGGTCTATTCCCAAGATTTCTCAAAATCAAGATAGCAAATGCGATGGGTTCAATAAATTTCGTTCGACTGGATGCGATTCACTCGAATTACTTTAAAACAAATTGTCGAAAACTTTATTTGGTTTCGGTTACTGATAAACACAGATTTTTTGCATAAAAAAAAATAAGTTTAAAAGAAAAAATTCACTAATAATACCATATGACGCTGCTTCATTAATTTTGAACTGTATAGAAGCTTCCTCTCAAACTTAACTGCACCTTGTTCTAAATCACATTCTATGTCAGATGTGAAGCTACCTGCTTTGTTTGCATGAATTTTTTATGATAATTAATAGCGACAAATACTTCAGCTACAGCTACAACTACGATGTAAGTTCCGTTT